GATCGGCCTTAACCTATGCCCACCGAGGGAGAGGAGGGCCCTGGAGGACGGGGCGAGGAGAAGGCCGGGCACCAGGTGTGCGAGGTCATCAGGTGACGCAGGCCCACACCTGGCGCGGCCGGGGACATCGCCACCTCTCCAGCGCCCAGCCCGTCGCTTTTGGGGCGGAGGCCAGGCCCTTCCCGCGGCCGACCCTCCTCCCTCCCTTCACCTCTAATCCGGCGCCCACGGCTCAGCCAACCCCACGGGTGCGGGCGGAGCCAGGGTGCGGGAGGGCAGCGCGAGGGGGCGCGGCGCGAGGGGGCGGATGCGGCCCCCGGGGTGCCGCGCGCCACTCACCCGGGGCCAGACACCAGCTTCGGGGCAGCTCCGCGCGACTGGACTCGCGTCGGCGACGAACGCTGGGCTGTGGCCGGACAGCGGCGGCACCGGTACTTCCGGCCTTGGGAGGCGCACCGGAAGTTGCGCCGGAAGCCAGGTCCAACCCGGAAAGGGGGTGCGGTGGCGCCCAAGCGAAGATTCGGGTGTCGGTCGAGGAGCGGGGATGCCCAGGCAGAACCCACGCAGCCTGCGTGCGCCGGGGCCATGTTTTCTTTGTAGGTCCTGGCTCGGGTCTGCAAGAGTGCAAGAGCTCCTCCCGCGAGGGCTCCGGCCTACCCTGCCGGCCCACTCACCATCTCCCCGCGGCCCTTCCGCATTCCCGGCCCGGGGGCGGGGCGGGGCGGGGCGGGCCTGGCCCGCGGGAGGCACTGCCCTGCGCCCTGACCCTGGGGGGCCCGGCCCTGGCCCGCGGGAGGCACTGCCCTGGGCCCTGACCCTGGGGGGCCCGGCCCCGGCCCGCGGGAGGCACTGCCCTGCACCCTGACCCTGGGGGGCCTGCATCTGTTATGGTTTTGGAGTCCCCTGGGCGCCAGTCGCGGCCCACCCAGAGTTGCCAGATTTGGCAAAAGCAGGCTAGTTAAGTCTGAATTTCAGATAAAGCTCTTTTTAGAGGTGAGGGACCGGTGTGTGGGAAGGTCAGGCAGGGGTGGCGCCAGAAACCCTGTCACTTCTGAACTGCACCTTTTCCGCCATAAAATTATATGACTTTACCCTTTCAACCCCTAGACAGTTTCATTAAAATTATTTGCTTTTTAAAAGATTACCAAGGAGATGATAAAGCACACATACACGCACACACCTATAAAGCTCTTGGCCAAAATACGGAAAGCACAAAGCAGCATTCAGGTTTTGTTTTAGGTAATATTCCTGGCTATAATCTTCTAGACAGTTTCCCTCACCTTGGGATCATCTAGATGATTAACACTATTTCTGATTAATGGAGGACAATCAACCTAATAGCCAATATTTATTAAACATTTATTATTGCCTATTAATGCGATAAAGGCTTAGGAGGTAACAAAGTGGAATTTATGTTCTAAAAATTTTCGATCAGAAATTTCAAAAAGATAGGCACTGTATGTTCCCTGTTGTACAGAAATTCTTAAAAAACAGTATCACATCAAAGACTAACTTGGAGGAGCTTTCAAAACAGATTCTTGAGCCTCAAAATCTAATATTAGGATTCCTTAGTCAGGGATGGAGAACAGTTTTTTTCTTATAAACACGCAGTTGATGCTGATGCTCATCTGAAGTCACACCAGGTTCTAAGTACTCTTCCTCGCTTCAGTCTGCCCTTTGATATCAATAGTCTAAATGACTATCCTTCCACTCACCACATTTGGGCTTCTCAGGTTTCTGACAGATTTTCCAGGTATGGAATATTACCACCCCATAAACCCCAGCCCTGGACAATGTAGTGTAAGCACATGGCTAATGTCACCTTGATGGTATTTTTGTTTTTTCCTAAATTGGGGACCCAACCCCAGGGCCCCAAGCATGCAAGGAAGTACTCTAGTACTATATCTCAGCCCTACACTTTGACTTAGTATTAAAACACCTAAAACTGCTGTCCAACAATCCGTAACCACATATGGCTATTTCAACTTAATTCAAAATTTAGTACACCAATCTTATTTGCACATTTTAAGTGCACAACAGCAATATATGGCTAGAGTCCTCATTAGACATCACCATCACCAGAAAGTTTTAGTGGACAGCATTGTTGTAAAGAAATAATTCTGCAGTGTATTGTTCTCTCTAGACTCAAAATTAATGAAAAACTAGCTATCCAAATCCTTGGGAAATCATTATTTATAGAATATCTGTATCAAAGGTAAACTTTTACCCACCAAAAAGGTCTGAAATGTGCTATACTCAAAAATGGTAACCATGTCAAACCATGAAGATGATTTAAAATATATTCAACTAAAAATACGCTGTCAACTTATAACAATTCTAAAATATATGTACATAAATACTAAAGAAAAGGCATGCTTGCTGCTTTTTGAACATGTGCAGATATCCAGAATGAAAGACTAGGTTTTAGAAGCTGGAAGAAGTGGAAATGGGATAAGTAGCCCTGGCCAGATGGTCATTTCTTCAAGGTAGGATTAGCTCCAGCAACCCTTCAAGGACAAGAGATATAAAAACCAAGGTGCAAAGGAGCTAAGAATTATTCTCCTAAGAAGAACTTAATGTGACATAAATCTGGCTCAGGAAATTCAAAGTACAAGGTAAACTCTCAAGCATTTCTATGTAACTAAATTTTCATACTCTTTACAATCATGAAATTCTACTTTGAAATAATTTGTAAGTTGACTATGGACTTTTCTCTCCTAAACTTAGCATTTATTTCATCTCCAACTTCTATTAAACTCCTATATTCACTACTCTTTCTAGAGCTCTCTTTTACGAAGAATGTCCCTTCATATGGCTCATCTCTTCCAACCTTCCAAATATGACTGTTTTACTTCCCGTTTTCTTCTCTTTTTTCAGACTTTAATCTCTAAAGACCCTATCTCCTCTTCAGGTTCTCTTCAGAATTTCACTGGTAAGCAAAACAAGAATTAACTATTTGGATACCAATTATGCACCAGACCATGTCTTTTGTGTTTATTTTTACAAAAAGCTTGGAGGGTACTATTCCTATTTTCCTGATGAGGAAGTTGATACTTAAGAGCAGCTTGAAGCCGGATGCAAGTGTTTTGAAACTGTAATCCTAATTATTAAAGAGGCTGAGATCTGAGAATCAAGGTTCAAAGCTGGTCAGGGCAGACCAATCTAAGAGTCATACAATTAACCAGCAAAATGCTGTAAATGGAGGTACAGTACAAGTGAAAAGCACAAGGCTCTGAATTCAAGCCCTAATAATAGCACAGATTTTTTTCTTTTTGTTTATAGCACTGAATGAAATTGAGGAAGAAAAGTAAGGCAGCTTCTATGAATCTAACCTTGAAGGGGCAAAGACTAGTTACAAGTCCTTCCACTCTTCTTCTACATAACCAGTCTTACCAGCTTAAAGGATCTAGCTCTCCTATCCTACAGTGTACAAAGGACTGCTGCCCAAAGACACTTACTGGAATGAGGTCATGGTTTTCTCCAAAGATTATCTTGTTAATATTAGCATAAAACTTGAAATTATTAAAGTAATTATTAGTTACTCATCTTCACTAATTTTCACTCTTTGCAAGGAACTTTCCCTCAATGTTTTATTTTTTTTAAATTCATGAATCTTTGAGAGTAAGATTTCTGAAGCCTAAAGAGAATGAAAATGTCTTCCACTCCCTTGTTAACTGTGCAACAGTCCTACCATGTACAAACAGCAAAAGTTATTTTTAGAATTAAAACAATGACCTCACTTTCCTAAGAATGTAGCTTCAGCTGTTTTGATTGTGGGCAGGTCAGGAATGTCTAAAATTCACAGACTCATGATGATAATTTCTGTATAAACAAACATAGTCTTTCAATAGGGGCTGTCATATTTAAGGAAAGTATATATAATTTAAAAATACTGTGCTTCCAACAGCCAGAAATACAAACTCTGCAATCTGTCTTTTGGATACAAGCATTCCACAAAACCTCTGAAGCTAAAAGTTTTAAAAATAGGAAAATGGGGAGGGAAAAACTGGGAAAGCAAAGGAAGGGGTGACATTGTCCAAAAAGAAATGTATTCTTTATTTGACTTAGTAACTATAACCCCTCTGTACATCACCTTTTCATGAATAGAAAAAATTTTAAAAAATAGGAAAATGAAAATTATATGCAATGGCTTGGTATAATTTTAAATAACTTAAAACCACGTACAAAAGTTTAGAGCAGTTAAAAGTGGGAACAGAAAAAGCAAGTTTGCCAAACTTAAGAACTTATAGCTGTTAAAATGATATTTATACTGATTTTTACAGAAACTTGCTTTAAAAACTGGAAGACAGGGCTGGGAAGGTGGCTCAGTGGTAGAGCACTTGCCTTGAATGCCTGAGGCCCTGGGTTCGATTCCTCAGCACCACATAAGCAAAAAAAAAAAGCCGGAAGTGGCGCTGTGGCTCAAGTGGTAGAGCGCTAGCCTTGAGCTGAGGGACAGTGCCCAGGCCCAGCGTTCAGGCCCCACCACTGGACGCCCCCTTAGTGGTACAATGCTTGCCTACTAAGCATGAAGCCCTCGGTTCAATTCCTTAGTACCACATAAACAGAAAGTGGCACTGGCTCAGGTGGTAGAATTGTGGCTCAAGTGTTAAGTGTTAGCCTTGAGAAAAAGCTTAGTGCTGAGGCCCTAAGTTCAAACCCAGGACTGGCAAAAAAATACAGTACAGGAAACCGGATGAGAGTAGTTAAAAGGAAGGAGTATTAGAGGCCTAACAAAAATCTTTCTTTTTGTTGTTCCTGTTTTCGTTTTTAAGATAGAGTCTTACCATATGCCCACCTTGACTTCTAACTCATTATGTAGCCCAGGCTGCCTAGAACTCATGATCCTCCTCGGGCCTCAGCTTCCCTAATGCTGGGATTATAGAGATTATGTCACCAGGTCCAGACCTAGAATATTATTTTCTAAGACCTACTTCATTGACTCTCCCTTGAAAAGCAACTGATAAAAGTCAACTTTGGTAAATAAGAAGTTTAAACAAGTGTTTTATGATAAAGTTTTAATTATGGTTCAGAAAAAATTGAGTGAATAACTTTCTCTGAAAAAATATATTGACTCTGTGTGGACTGCAGTTACTTGGGGGAGGGGATGGGACCACTGGTAAATTAAATTACCCTATTTTCTATTCTGAGAATGACAAAAAGTCCCAATTCCAGTCTGATTATAAAGATACATGTGCCCAAATGGCTGAGAATAAATACAAAACAGGAAAAGCAAAAGCTCTATAGCTAAGGGCATGCAACAGGCTCTAAGAGAAAAATCTCAGAAATACCCAGAGTGGCAATAAGGAACATATGGCTGGAATTTGAAGTTCTTTTCAGTCATCTTTGTCTTTTGCTCCGTGTTTGAGGATACGTGTGAATTCAATGTAATTGAAATTGCCCTTTTTGTCAATAGGGGCTTCTCGGTACAGCTCATCCACCTCCTCATCTGTGAAGCGATCACCCATGGTTGTCAGCAGCTCCCGCAGGTAATCCTCCTGAATGGTGCCTAGAGAATGAAAAACTGAGGATCAGAATATATACTACTCTCAAAGTTAGTTACAAGTAATACATACACCTGACTGTGCATTCTCTACAGTAAGAAACTATATACATGATAATACATGAAATACAGGGTTTCCAGTCACTTTAGACAACTTCAACAGACAGGTGCTTAGAACAGTGGCCAGCTACTTAGCAGCCATTATATTACTCTGCTGTCACTCAGCTTCCACATCTTCTGATCTTTGATGGCAGGGACTAAACCTACCCTGGAACAAAGACAGTAAAGTATGACCCAGGCATCTAAGCTTTATAATTCCTATTTCCTATTATATAAGGAAAGAGCAGTTAATTATCACATTACAATGAATACCACATCAAAAAGTAAAAGAAAAAATAACTGAGTGAAATCAATATGGCATCATAAAGGTGAAGAAAGTGCTCCAGTGGAAAAAATAGTAGAGTACCAAGGCCCAATTTAACAAGCTATATTATTTCAGGCATTTCCTTTACCTCTGACTTTTTTGTTTTGTTTTACTTTTTTTCAAGGGAAACAGTGTTACTATGTAGTTCTAGCTGGCCATGAATTTGTGATCTCCAGTCTCTATGTGGAATTACAGGCATATAACATCACAGGCATATAACATCACAGCTGGTTAAAATGAGCTTAATGTTTATAAACCTAACATACATATCAAACATGCTAGCATCAGCAAACACATAATACTTAGGCAGCAATGTATCATTGATACTGTGATAGTCAATAGGTGTGTGCAGTGATGAAATAATTGGTCTGCTTTTTATTGAGTTTTTGCTAAGGTTGTCTTGAAACCTGACTGCCCAAAGAATACAACTACTTATAGATATAAAAACAGAAATAAATGAACAAGTGCATGCTGGGTGCTGGTGGCTTTTGCCTGTAATTCTAGCTATTCGGGAGGCTGATGAGGATTGCAGTTTGAAGCTAGCCTGCGCAGCAAAACCTATACATATCTTTTAGATAGCTGTATTCTCTTCTATTAAAAAAGAGCTGGTGCTGGCAATCCATACCTGTAATATAGCTATTCAGGAGGCTGAGATCTGAAGATCAAGGTTCAAAGCCAGTTTGGTACCAGAAGACCATGGGATTCTTATCTCTATTTAACCACCAAAAAGCTCGAAGTGGAGCTGTGGCCCAACTGAGTGCTATCCTTAAACAAAAATAAAACAAACCCAGAGACAGCTCCTAGGCCGAGTTCAAGCTCCAGGACTGGCAAAAAAAAAAAAAAAAAGTTTGGTGGCTCACACCTATAATCCTAGGTACTTGGGGGGGGACCATGGTTCAAGGTAACCCCTGACAAAATTTTGTAAGACCTCCATCTCAACGAAAAGGCTGAATGTGATGGTTCATGCCTGTCACCACAGTTACATGGGAGGCCTAAGTTGAAGGAGCAATGTCCAGACTGGCCCAAACCAGAGATGCTAACTGAAAAAATAACTGAAGCAAAAAGGGCTTGGGACATGGTTCAAGTGGTAAAGTATCTGTTTAGCAAGTGCAAGGCCCTAAGATCAAAACTCAAGTACCAAATACAAAAAAAGTAATACCGATTCACAGTAAACCAATTCAAGCAATATAGAAATATCTTTGTTGGGGGAAGAGAATTAGTATGTCTCTCCCATTTTTTTCTACTCTAGCCTTTCCAAAAATAACTTAAGTGGTTTGTTTTTGTTTTTTTGAAGTGCTAAGGACTGAACCCAGAGCCTTAACATTCTGGTAAACATTTTATTATTGAACTACATCTTTGGCTAGGTAGCTATGCCTACCTCAAATTCTCAAATCCTCCTGCCTCAGTCTCGTAAGTGTTGGGATTGTTGGCATGCTCCATAACGCCCCTCACCCCGACTACACTTGTTTCTGTGAGTGCATTCAAATTTATCACAGCAACTTTATGAGGTAAGTAGTATTATTGCCTACTTCACAAATAAGAAAACCTATCTTAGAGAAATTAAGTAATTGGCCCCAAATTCCACAGCTATCATGCAGCAGAAGAGGAATCTAAATCCAGGTAGTCTGATTCCAGAGCTTAGGCTCTGTTTGGTTTAAAATAAAGGTTAGATAGCAGATTTAAATTGTTTTATTAGAGTTGAGGAATACAGGTTAAGCAAACACAGGATTGTACTGCTGCCAGCCTATGACGAGAAATTCTTTATTCAGGATTGCTCTGGAAAAAGTTATTCATTTAACAAGTACCTTGTGGAGTTAACCTTCGAGTAAAGGAGCAATCTAAGTTTCCCAAAGAGGTTTCACATACAACCTATTGTAGACAGTAAGGTGAAGGATGAACAGACCAAATGAAAACCCTGTCCATTACATTTTAAATTATTGTGTATTTAATTACCATAACTAAAAAAAACCTAAGTCACTTTGTAAGTAAAGGTTATCTCTGACTTACCAGTTGCTTCCTCATCAAAGCAAGCGAAGGCATTTCTGATGACATCCTCAGGGTCTGTGCCATTTAACTTCTCACCAAACATGGTGAGAAACATGGTGAAGTTGATGGGGCCTGGAGCCTCATTCATCATGGCATCCAGGTACTCATCAGTTGGGTTTTTTCCTAAACATACAAAATCGTAATTAGATTACATTATAAAACGTATCAACTATATATCATGGTAAACATATCACAGTAAACATTTCAGCAAGAAAGTGACCATCTATCTATACATAGTTTGCATTTGTATAGCAAAACTGTTTAGGGAAACAAGGTCTTCTCAATGAATATAGTCTGCACTAAAATTTTCAGAGATTCTTAAGATTCCATTAAGATTCTTAATATTCCGGGGGCTGGGAAGGTGGCTCAATGGTAGAGCGCTTGCCTTGCATGCATGAGGCCCTGGGTTCGATTCCTCAGTACCACATGAGCAAAAAGAAAAAAAGGTGGAGGTGGCGCTGTGGCTCAAATAGTAGAGTGCTAGCCTTGAGCTGTAGAGCTGAGGGACAGCGCCCAGGCCTAGAGTTCAGGCCTCACGACTGGACCCCCCAAAAAAAAATTAAAAAAAAAAAGATTCTTAATATTCCATTAGGAGGAACAGAACTAATTTCATAATTAAGTCTCTCTCTTTCTCATATACACACTCCCCAACTCTCAATAGATTCATGAGTCTGACTTCATAAAGCCTTAAGACTCAATAAATAAAAAAATCATTAGGGAAATTCTACCCAATATATTAATATTAAGTCTGAGCAGTACCCAACGAGGCAAGCATATCATGCAAATCTTCCTTGTCAATGAAACCATCTCTGTTCTGGTCAATCATGTTGAAGGCCTCTTTGAATTCTTGGATCTGTGACTGGTCGAACATAGCAAACACATTGGATGTTGCACGCTGAGGGCGCTTCTTGGTGGTTTTGGTCTTTGCCCTTTTGCTCGACATGGTGATGGTCAAATCCTAATTAAGAAAGAAACACAATGAAAGCAAAATCAGCACTTAAATTGACTTAAGTTCCAATCAAAACAGTAATTAACAAAAGTAAACAAAATCCATTTTCTGATATGTTTGAGCTAATTAGATATATATCCCAAGAATCCAAGAAGGGATAGGCTGGGTGAGAATGCTGAAAGGGGTGGTATTGATCAGGATATATTATGTTCATAAACTGCTTTTGTCCACTCCTCCTTTGTACAGCTAAAGATAATTTTAAAAAATAAGTGAAACACTCCAAACAGTATCACTTGGTAAGAATTTCTCACATAATGGAAACTATGACACAAAGATTTAGGCTAAAAATGAAAATCCAGACTCATGATTTCAGTTTACCCACTTTGTAACTGTAAATTCTTATAAATGGCGGTTACTTCAAATTCCAAATTAAAGCCATTATCAAGTCAAAAAAGCTGAAGTGATTTGCCACTGGTTTACAGACAAGCTTACACAACTCCAGGACTGCCATAGAGCTTAACAGCTGGTTTAATCAAATACTTAGGTATGCGGGACACCGTGCTGGTTCTAAATTTCAACACTAAGGTGGTGCTACAAAACACACATTTATCTTCAAAAGGACCATCCTTCTGTAGCCCTCACCTAAGATACTGATCCCATCTATATATAGTGGAGAGAAAGGTAAGGAAGCAGAAGGCTAACAAGATGTAACAGACCTTCTCTCCTAATCACTACTGACAGTGCTCATCTACATTCAACTGAAATCTTTTATTGCACTCTTTCTTCTTGCTTCCAAGTTTTTCAAGAAACATTTTGCTCGATGTTTGTTGGTAAAGTATAAAAAACTAAAGTTAACTCATCTCTAATTAAGTTTCATAGGCACCGTGTATTCCATCCAGACTAGTCATCTGAGCCACACTAAATCACTTAGTAAGACCTCTACACAAAAATTGGAGCACGGTTATCACCCTAATAATCAAGATGTAGTGTACTTATTAATTGATTTGTTCAATTAAAGCCCCTTTGTGCAACTAAAGATAATAAATAAAAGAATGAAATTCGAACAATTCAAATAGTTTCAGAGAATATTTTAAGAGATAAAGAGACTATCGTTGCTCTCTAATAACCTAAATTTATCCCTGTAGAGTATAAGTTAAAAAATATGCCTGATAATACAGAGAATTAAGGCATTTTTCTTCAACACTCCATTTTAAAAACACTACGAAAGCATGTTCAATATTAAAAATCCAATTATCCCAATACAATTCTACCATACCATCCTTCAGAGTTGGGAGTAGAGATGGTAGTCAGCAAACTTCCTTCCTGATTGATGAGCAAGACTAAGACACTGTACTGAGTTATATTCTTCTGAGCTGGTCTAAAATAGTCACTACTGATTTCACTCTGACCAGGATAACAGTTTTAAAGCTTACGTTCTGAAAACATTTAGCTATGATGTGGCAAAACACTATGCCCTTGCTCTAAAAATAAGTCTGAGGATTGCAAAGAATGAAATACTACCTAGAGCTCAGCGTTCAAAGTCACCCTTAGAGTATGTGTATGAGTTTAAAACGTTTTTCTTACATTCTTTCCTTGATTATCCTATATTACACAGACTAAACTTAATTATGGAAATAATTTGAAAAGTTCAATTCACATTATTTTTAGCTGCCTGTTTTCATATTTTAGCAGGAAATTCCAGAAAGAGTAGTCACAAATTCCAGCCAATCCATTATAGAACACTCTTTAACAATACAGTGGAATGTCATTGGAAAATACCACTCCCAAATTTTCAGATTTAACTATCCTTTATGAGGCTGCTTTTCATTATCTATTTGAGTTATTAATGAATACATATTTTCATTCTGCAATACTTTGGGGGAGGTCTAAACCTCATTAAACTATGCAAAGTTCTATGTTCCCCTTCATGTTTTAAGATCTACAAGGAATATATTATCCTCATCTCTTATATGTACGTTAGACTTGGGGTGAGCAGGTGATACTCAGTGAGGGACACATATTTTTGCCAGTTCATCTAATATCTCAGACATGTCAGGCCTTTGGTAAGCCACAGTACATCTTTAAAAATAGTTTTGTTCTGTATGACACCATTGTCTTTCCCTAATGATGTAGCAATGTCAGTTATTTTAAGAACAAAGAAACTGGTGAGGATAGTTGGCCAAACAGTTGACATATTAATTCTCTAACCTGTAAAACCAGAAGTACTAATTTTGGTGGAAGTTTTAGGTATCTTTTTGAATTTAGTTTTAATACATGTATGTAGTTTTCAATTTTTTTTATGTATGTCCTGTTCTTTTTTTTTTTTTTTTGGTTGGTTGTAGGGCTTGAACTCGGTTTGGATGCGCCGTCCCTGCACTCTTCAGCTCAAGGCAAGCGCTCTACCGCTTAAGCCACAGCGCCACTTCCTGTCCTGTTCTTTTAATCAGGCATTTTGTAATGTATTAATTTGAAGATGCATTATGAAACAGTTCAAAGAATGTCTTTGTTTTTTGTCAGCACCAACAAGTCTTACACAGAACTCTGGATCACTCAGTACTCTATCCTATCAACATGATGAGCAGTTATTACACTAATGTATATAAAATGTTATTAGCATTGACTACTAGTTAAAAGTTAAATGTAATCCATATAGGTGCCCTATCTTTGAGGAGCTTAAAATATAGTTGGAAAGGCAACTAAGAAGAAATGTGGTGATTGGTTCAACTTATGAGACGAACCAATAGTTTGCATTATTTTCATTCTAGAGGTATGACTCTAGTTAAAAAAGTGAGAAAATATTAAATAAATCAGGTGGCACATGATATCAAATACTTTGAATTCAGGATGAACTTTGTAGATTTCTAAAAAGATTAGGTGGGCACTTAAATCCCATTTGGAAGCTGAAAAGTACCTCAGAATTTAGAGATCTGGTTGCTAGTCTTGGTTCTAATAATTAAGGCACTTAATTCTATCAAAAACAGTGTAACACTGATCAAACAACCTGGCCTTTTTCACAACTGGATTTTAATTTGTGAGATCATTTACTACCAGAAACTTGGAAGCTGTACAGTAACAGTATGGTTAGCTTCTCAATTGTTCCAAAACAAGGAAATGTGATTTTACCTTTTCTTATCAAACTAAAAGTAGGAATAAAATAAGCAGGGATACAGGAACAGTGCTACAATGTCATGGAGATCATCCTTGATTTTAGCATTGTCTTCTTTGCCTTTTAGAATAATAGTTCACTGTCTATTTTACTGCACCTTTAACAAGTGATGCTGAACTCAGCAAATGACAAGCCTTCTTGAAGTGTGCAGCTCTTGTGTCAGTTTTAAAAGTTGGGACAAATTAAAACTGAAAATATTTTATCACAGTGCCTGGAATCCTAGTTCCAGGTGGGAGCTAAGGTTGTTGGAATCACAGTGTGACCTCTTAATGAAAGTTGGATGCAGTGGCCCCCATCTGCACTGGGGAGCCTAACATGGGTGGAATGCATCCAGGCACCCTAGACAGGACCCTATCTCAAAAGCGACTAGCAAAATATACTGCTGGAGGCATGCTTGACAGTTAGAGCCTGCCCAGCAAGCTTTAGGAAGGAAATTCAAACCCAGGACTGCAAAGGGGGGGGGGGGCGGCAAAAAAGAGCCATTTATCAGTGTAAATGTTCTCTATTTAGAAGAACACCTGAGAGTTCCAAAATCCTCACTTGTTACACTGGATCTTTATTTGGGAAGCACTTAATGAGACTTTTGGTATGAGCGGTAGTTGTGTGAAACCTGAAAAGCTGGGACATTGCAGAGCAGCCTCAAACAAACTATAAGGATTTCAGAGGCTGAGATGAAAGAAAGACAATTAAGGGTAATCAAGAACATTCAGCTTACAGATGGAAAGAGCCTAACTTCCTTCTAAGTTGGAGAGACTATAGGTGGCAATGAATTTGTAGTTTTTTTTGTTTGTAATCTTCTTAGATAGTTTTAAATAGTTTGCTGAGCTAGAAGAATAAATCATTAAGGGTTAATACAACAGGAGAGACACAAATGATGTCCAAGGAAGATGTTAAACCAGACAAAGACATGGGAGAAATAAAAAGCAAAAATCCTGAAAGAGGTCTTCCTCATACACAAAGGCAAGCAGATTTTGGGGAACCTTTAGAAATACAGAACTTGTAGGAACTATGCTATCCAGAGATTTTGAAAAATCTACAAAACCAAGTAGCACTAATCCATACTTATGCATCAGACTGCTTTAATTAAAACCGTAGGGACCTACATTTATAAATGTAATAAATGTAACCTAAAAACTTCTACAGAATAGTTGAAAGAAATTTTTGGAAATGCGTATCTTAGAGCTGCATAGTGTGAGCTTGGCACTCCATGGCTCACACCTGTAATCCTAGCTACTCAGGAGGCCTCCATCTGAGGATCCAGGTTTGAAGCCAGCACAGGCAGGAAAGTCCTTGAGACTTACCTCCAGTTAGCCACCCAAAAGCCAGAATGTGGCTCACGTGGTAGAGACAAACAAACAAAAAAAAACAGCGCAGAAGTCCTGGGTTCAAGTCCCAATACCAGCACTAAAAACAGATAACTGCAGTGTGACAGCACCTAATAATCTGCTCGGCTTTCCAAATTCCTATCAAATCTACATCCCATTTAACCAATGCACTTTTTTCCCCCCCAAACTGGAGGATTTTTTTTTTGGTGTTTAAAGATCTTTTAAAGTATATTTTCAACTAGGTTTTTCCGTTCCAACAAAATCAAGTTTTCATTTCTTACGTAAACTTCCGGTTGCCAGTGGGATTAGTTCTCTGGGACTGCCACACCCAAAAGTTCTTTCCCAGAGACACTTTGTGGTCAGGCTGACTCGCCAGAAAACAGTAAGATGTCGCTTTCTAAAATAAGACGTCCGAAAGGCCAGGAACCAAAAAACGCGTACCAATTTAAAAAACACACACAACTCCTTTTTCCCTTCAGAGATTAAGCATTTTGTAAGTTAAAAATTCACTCGGCCGGGTCCTGTTTCAAACGCCTCTAAAGAAGTGACATATGCTTTCCAATACCTACTAAACCGCTTTAAACGAAAACAGTTCCTAGGCCAATAGACAGTGAACACAAGTATGGAAGCAAACCAAACCCCCAGCTCCTCTCTGTCTAAACGTCACGTAAAGCCACGCAGTTCTAATCAGATGCGGGCACCGGCACCCGCACGGGCGGCTCCTTGCTCTCCCACGGCGCCGCGCAGCTGCACCAACAGCTGCGGGGGGGGGGGGCGGGAAGGGGATCCGGGCTCCTGTTTTGGCGCAACCGTCCTTGAATCGGACAAGTCTACGTTACAGACTAAACATAGTCTGGGTGTCAGCTCCCCCGCGGCTCGGATTTCGCGGGCCCGGCTATCGCCCAAGACCAAGGCGCCAGCCAGCTAAGCCACCTTTTCCCAGCTGCTAGTCCGGGCACAAGGGACAAGTGTGCGTCCGGGCCACTTGGGGGCCTTTGATGCCCGGGGCTGGCACCTCGGCTCCAAACCCGGGAGCCAGGTGCGACACCGGCCCAGCCAGGTGCGCTCCCCGAGCCCAGCGATCCCCGCGGAGCGTCGCTGCCATCCCGAGTCGCCCCGCGAGGACGCGGGTCCGGCTGGCCCCGCCCCGACCACCACTCACCCGGCACCGCCGCGAGAACCCGAACTCCTCAGCGAACCCCGCGCCGCCCGAAGCACCACCCTTCTCCACCGGGAGCCGCCAAAAAGCAACACTTCCGACCTGCGCTGAGCAAACCGGAAGGAAGTGCGGTCACCATTCTCAGTTCCCAGAGTGGGCCAAACTTCCCGGGGGAGCGAGCGGGAGGGGGCTGCCAGGGTGGTCGGCGGGCACGCTGTTGAACTACAAGAACTGAAAGCATGAAGCGAGAGGTTTAGAACGGAGGGGATACGGAACGCCTGGCTGGGACTGTGACTGACGTTCTGCATTTTGTTTTGTCCTCTTCTTGCACCGTAAGCCCTGCTCCCCCCTCCCACGGGTGCAGATGGTTGCGTCCGTCCTGTGGCTGGGCCTCAAAGCACATTCCAGGGCACGGCGAGGGGCGGGGCCTCTTAGCCCAAGACCTTATAGGGAAATCGCGGAGAGGGCTGATGCACCCACGTGACCAGCCCTAGCCCCCACCTTTGTGCGCCGCTGCTGGGCCGTAATGCGCTTGCGCAGAGCTCGGGACGTGCTAGGGAAGCCTTCTATACCTAGTGGAGCGGAGGTGGGGCCCTCGTATTTCCGGGTGAGGGGCGTGTTGGAAGGGTGTGTGTGTGTGTGTGTGTGTGTGTGTGTGTGTGTGTGTGTGTGTGTGTGGTCTTTGTGGCCTAGACGTGTGTGTGTGTGTGTGGTCTTTGTGGCTTAGACTTTGTGTGTGTGTGTGTGTGGTCTTTGTGGCTTAGACTTGTGTGTGTGTGTGTGTGGGGTCTTTGTGGCTTAGACTTTGTGTGTGTGTGTGTGTGTGTGTGTGTGTGTGTGTGTGTCCCTCAGCCCAGAGCCTGGTCTTTGTGGCCTAGACAGACTTCATGGAGCTGAGTGGCTGATGACTTCCTCTTCCAAATCTTCTGTGACCCCCAACAAGGGCCTCTTTTCCGAGGAAAACCTGTGGGAGGACAGTTGGGAGGCTCAGTCCTACCTCTCACTCCCAGGAAAGCTCCCAGCTTGGTGAAAATAATAAACTTTGGAGTATTTTTCTCAGCGTCCCTTGCCTTGGTCGCTGATGACAACGCTTCTTGTGATAGCGAATAGAACTCCTTCCCCATTCTAAGAGCTAGTGAGGACCACAGCCTTAGCCACCCCGACGCTGACACGCTGACATCACCTGTGGCCCGAGGGAAGGCCTACTAATGCGACTGAGACTCTTGGATTGTGAAGACAAGCACAGATCTGAAGTTTGGGTTTGCTGTAGGGCCTTGGCTTTCCAAGTTGTCTCTTACTTCCATCTCCTGAAACGAAAATTGTTGCTCCAAATACTGCAGAATAATCTTAAATATGCCTGATGTATAACTGCTATCTTCAAGGAACTAAACTCACTGGGGGAAAAAGATGGAAAAAAATAGCCCTCATTCTATAGGTGACCCATTCTACAGGTGATTCATTTCCCAGACTTCCTTGATGACCAGAATCACTTAGGAGTTCTAGTTTAAAATACAAATAATCAGTCACATCAAGTCACAGGATTACAGCCAAGGGCAGGTCCTGGGAGCCATGGATTTAGCAGGGGTCCAAAGTGACTCTTATTAGGGAAGGTTGGGCACACAGCTAGACCACAGGCTTAGAGATACTGTAGTGACAAGACCCAAATCAAGTTAGCAATGCTTTGTCTTAACCCTGACTCGCATAGAAAGGCACTTATCTCTTAACAGGCAGCCACACTTCAGCCAGTTTGAAAAATACAAAAAAAATTTTTTTCAACGAAAATCCCTAACAAGCCCTGAAATCAGACAAATAGCACAAAAGAGGAAAGAAATAGCTTCCTGGGAGAGGAAAAAAAAAATGGCGGGCTGAGTGGGTTTGCTCTTGGAATTTGAATTGGCAGGCAGAGCGGTTACCTGCAGTACACACGGGCTCCACACGGGGGTGGAATGGCACCACAGAGCTTGAGCCACCCCACTCCCTCCCAGCTACAGAAAGCACAAAATACTTCAGAGCTGTAAGGAAATGAACACTCTTCCTAAACTTGAAAGTTGCTTCTTTAGTGTCCCTTGCTTGTCTTCCTGACACTCAGATGGGTCAACACATATTAAGCAACTGCACTACCAAGTATTGTAGTTGGAGCTGTGGTTTCTGATGTGTGTGTGTGTGTGTGTGTGTGTGTGTGTGTGTGTGTGTAAGTTGAACTGTTGCTTCCTCTGGGGTGGGGTGGAGTAGTAGAATAGAGATGCAGATAATAGAAGTGTAGATACCTGCCTGGGACTTGTGAAAGCTGTCCCCAGAGGTCAGCAGAGGAGAAAAGAGGCATATCAGACAAAGGCAGAAGCAGACTTGATTGGAGTTGTTCCAAGTATACCCCTCATTGAAAGTTAACAGGAACTATGTGGTCTGTGTTCATCCCTTCATGTATTCATTCTTCAGTTAATATAGATATAGCAAGTGAGCAAACCACTGTGGAAAACTTAAGACATAACATTCCACCTAATGTTCTGATACTCAGTTTTTGCAATTGAACCCACCAAAGATCTCACTTTGATGTCCCTGTCCTTCTGGACTCTACAGGACAACTTTGCAAACCTGCAGGTGAGAATCTCTTAATTTTTTCTTTCCTCCTTCCTTCCTTCCTCTTTTTCTTTCTTTCTTTCTTTCTTTCTTTCTTTTTCCAATACTGGGATTAGAACTCAGATCACACAAGTGACCTAACTTCTTGAACTATTCCTCTCACTCTTTTTCATGTTGATTATTTTTGAGATCCAGTCTCACTTTTTGCCCAAGCTGGACTAGATCATGATCCTCCTGTTATACCTCCCACTGTGGCTGGGATGATAGTTTTATGCCATTATACACAGCTTTTTTCTGTTGAGATGAGGTCTCATGTACTTTCTTGCCCAGGCAAGCCTGAAACTGACATCTTTCTTATCTCAGCTCCCAGAGTGGTTGGGATGATAGGTAGCACTGTGTTGAAGCTATTGATTGAGATTGGGTCTAGGAACTTCTTTGTCTGAGTTGGCTTTATATCACTATCCTTAACCTCCTAGAGACCTAGAATTATAGGCCTGAGCCACTACACCCAGGTCTTTTCCACCTTTTCACCAGAAAAATTTGGCAAGTCACTAAGTTGACCTTAGTCTCAATTTTCTAATTTGAAAGATGGAAATAATACCTCTCCAGCCTACCTTACCAATTTTCTGATTAAATGAGATAGGTTACATGAACGTTTTAATAAGTGTAGAGAAGAGTTGTTAACCAAAACTCGTGTTAAGAAATTTCTATCACTGGGGCTGGGAAGGTGGCTCAATGGTAGAGTGCTTGCCTTGCATGCATGAGGCGCTGGGTTCTATTCCTCAGTACCACATAAGCAGAAAAAGCTGGAAGTGGTGCTGTGGCTCAAGTGGTAGAGTGCTAGCCTTGAGCTGATGAGCTGAGGGACAGCGCCCAGGCCCAAAGTTCAACCCCCACGACCAATATATATATCACCAATACCTGACTACCATGATTCTTTACAATTCTATATTCTGTATTAGTTTACTTGGACTACCACAAAAAAGGCACAGACTGGGCAAGTGAAATTCATTTATTACATTTCTGAAGGTTGGGAAGTCCAAGATCAAGGTGTTGACTTTTGGTGAGAACCTTCTCCCTGGTTTGTAGACAGCCACCTGATTTCTCTCCCCTCATATGCCAGAGAGAAACACAGAGAGGGAGACAGAAAGACACACACATGCACACGCGGACACACAGATCTCCTTTTCTGGTAAGACCACGGTCCTTAGAGGAGGGCAGGACCTCACCCTTTGACTTCTTTTAACATTCATTACTTCTAACGATCCTATCTCCAAATACAGTTTTCCCTATTGGAAGATAAACTATGATCATTTGAATTTGGAGAGCAAGGAGTGTTCAGTCAATAGCAGATATTTGTTATCACTGAATATTTTTAAATTTCCAAACCCCACTAAATGTGAATTATGATCTAGTAACACTGTACTTCTCCACATCAGTGAAATGAGTGCTTAATTTTTACCCTAGGAGGAAGATGTAGCAATGCCCAGAGACATTTTTGGATTTTTACAGCCAGTGGGCTGCTATTAACAACTAAAAGCATGGAAGTCAAATATTTCTGCCTAACACCCTGTTATGCATAGGGCACTCACCAATGACAAAGCATAAATCCAAAATGTCAGTAGTGTTAAGATTGAAAAAAAATCCCCACACTACTAGTGATTTAGTAACTCAATATTTATAGTAATCAATAGCAGCCCTGTGAGGTAAGCATTATTAATTGAATTTCACAGGTAAACTGAGGCTCAGAATATGTTAATGATTTCATAGGTTACCCAAATGACAATAGAAGAACAGAATTATTACTTGTGTCTGTGAGTGTCCAAAATGTTAGACAGAAGGAAGGACTGGGCATCCCCTCACTCCTCATATAGTGTGTAGTCAGCCATTGGTGCCAGCACATATTTGATATGGGCCACTTGTGCAAATAATTAGTAACTAGTCCAATCGAAACAGCATATTTTAGCTACACATCAGTGGCTCATGCCTGTAATCCTAGCTACTCAGGAGGTTAAGATCTGAGGATCGCAGTTCAAAGCCAGCCTGGGCAGGAAAGTCCGTGAGACTCTTTTCTCCAATAAACCACTAGAAAACTGGAAGAGGCGCTGTGGCTCAAGTGGTAGAGCACTAGCCTTGAGCTGAAAAGTTGAGGGACAGCACCCAGGCCCAGAGTTCAAGCCCCACGATCAACAAAAATATGCTTCTCCAGTTAAAAAAATCCTAATATCATAGGTTATTTTGAAATACATAGCAAAACATAATTGATACTAGTAGCAATTTACTAGTGAATGAAATACAGCGATCAGGTTGTAGTTACTGAGTGAATTTATAATGCAAGTATTACTTTGGACTCTCTACCCTATAAACCTAAAACAAGAACTGTAGTTTAGGAAACTTCACCAATCACTTGGTTTGCATATCTGAAAGACCTAATCATTTTAGAATCTATTTGGTGGTTGTGAGGACTCAGGAAAATGATCCATGAACAGTTTCTTAGTTCAAAATCAACTTTGTACTGAGCTTTGGAATTTATGGAGCAGT